CCAGCTGGAGTGCCGTGGCATCCTCATAGCTCACAGCAACCTCCAACTCCTGGGCTCAAGCGATCCTCCTGCTTCAGCCTCCCAAGTAGCTTGGGACTACAGGTGCATGCCACCACACCCGACTGATTTTTCTATTTTTTATAGAGACAGGGTCTCGCTCTCGCTCAGACTGGTCTCGAATTCCTGGCCTCAAGCCATCCTCTCGCCTAGACCTCCCAGAGTGCTATGATTACAGGTGTGAGCCACCGTGCCTGGCCCATAACTCAAAATGTGAAGTACAGTTCCTACTAAATGCGTACTCCTTTTATACCATGCTAAAGCTGAAAGATCCTAAGTCAGGCACCGTCTGTATTTTGGGGGTGCTATTGACAGGACTTGCTAATAGGCTGACTGTGGGAAGTGGGAAAAGAATATCAGAGGTGGCATCTGAGCTTTCAGCTTGAGCAAGCAGGGGGTTAGCAATGCCACTTATCAGGAGGCAGAGCACTTTCGGATGAGTATGTTGGGGACAGAGAGACTGAAAGTAAGGTTGGTTAGAAGCAGAGAGATTTGAGAAAGAGAAACTTGTGAGTAGAGAGGAATGAGTCAATGGAAAAGGAGGAAAGCACAAGGGACAGAAGAGATAACTGACAAGAAAAAGCCCCGGGGCGGGTGGGAGAGACAAAGGGGACAGAGTCTAGGAAAATGTAAGACATGGAGATGGTGGATTTGGCAAATGTCTCTTCCAAGTTGGCTCTTCCCTAAGGGTTTTGCATCGGGGGTTCCTTCCTCCTGCTCTCCCAGTCCCTCCTTTGCCAGGTAACTCTGCTTGTCCTGCTGGATGCCACCTGTCGCAGGGGCACTCCCTGGCTGCTCCCTCCAGGACAGGCTAATGCCGCACCCGTAAGAGCTCACGGCACCCCACGCTTGCACTTCCCTCGGGGTCAAGACAGACTTATTGCATCCCCGGTAAAGTCGCTCTTGTGTTCCCAAGCCCAGTGCAAATCCAGTCTCAGTACATGCACCTTAATCCAAGGAGAAGAGAGGGGAAAAGGAAGAGTCGGTAAACGTGCAGCGAGTGTTAGAAGGGACAGACGCTGGGGAAGTGCATGTGTGTCTCAGTGGAGGTCGGTTACACTGATGAGTGGCACTGGGGACTCAGGGCTGTGGGACAGGCGTGGGGGCTCGTAGGGGGACCGATAACCCCTGCCCACTCGGGACCCACCCCCACACGACACTGTCATGGAACCAGCCAGCCCTGGGCGGTCATATCCCCAGGAGCGAAAATCACTCACACTAGATGAACAGATTAGATTGTTGCTGTACCTTACCCATTAAGGCAGGAAAGTGGACTCTTATCTCTAAAAGCTTTTCCCCTCTCTAAACAGGGTTTTCTAGGTGATGATTCAGCGCAATAGAACATCTGATCGATCGGAACACTCCATTCCCCGGCTTTCTCGTTCACCGTGACTTCGTAGCGTTTCACAAAGCCTCTGGGAACTTTTAAATGACCAACATTGCAGGTGGATGTGGAATTCTGGAAATGGTCATTACCAGGCACATTGAACAGATGAAACGCAGGTGGTATCCGGGATGTGCCTCCCAATACCAGTGGTGGGGAGGAGGGACAAGTAACAGGACCGGCCCACGCCGATCCCTGTTGGAGCGGACAACGGGTGTGAGGCGCCCCATGTTGTTCTCTGCTTCTGCGTGTGCTGGAGATTTTCTGAATTGAAAAAGTAAAAAGCACATTTGTTAAACTTTAGGACAAGTGCGATCACACCGACCCACACGAGTCTAAATTCAGATCTTGACCAAAAGAAAGAAGATAAACTGTGTTCTACAGAACCAAGTCCACGTCAAGATGAAATGCTTTCAATGCCACTTAAGAGATTAGTCTCGTATCTATAATCTAAATTACTCAAGTAGAAGTTTTAGAATTACCTACATAGTCTTCAGAGTCAACGCCTACCTTCCCTTGACATCTGCACGCGCTGGCGCCGCCGCCCTGCCTCCTCCGCTCCTGCCAGGGCTGTGGCACAGGCTGGGGGCGGGCACGGGCCGGGGCTCCTTCCCCAGCAGTCTGGGCACCTGCTCTGTGTAGCTCTGTGCTCAACACCAGGCACCGGGCCCTTGTCCCGATGGGCTCGCAATCTGGTGGGGAAGAGAGACTGAGTAATTATAACACAACGTGTGTGTGTGTGTGTGTGTGTGTGTGTGTGTGTGTCTGTGTGTGTGTGTGTGTGTGTGTGTGTGTGTAGAAGGGAGAGGGTTTGGGAAAGCCTTAAGGAGGGAAATAGGCAAACAAACCAAACACAGTGTGTTCAAAGAACCAAGAAGAGCAACATCGAGGTTGGAAGGCAAGTAGGGGGTGAGGGCTTCCCCTAGCGCTCGGTCTTTATCCGCAACACCCTGAAGGGCTGAAGAGCAGGGGGACGGGACGGGACTCGGACTTTTTAAAGCTAGTGCCAACTCTGAGGCAAGGCCGAGAAGACGGGGGGGTGTGGGGGTGGGGGGGGACACATCACACGGACTGGCGTGACCTGGATAGAGGTGCGGCCACGGGTAAGGAGCGAGGTGCACGGTGTGTTTGGAAGGAGCTGAGAAGGTAAACTTGACAGGACTTGGTGTCAGGAGGGGACAGGAAGGACCGGGGATGACGCTCCGTATTTGGGTTTGGCAACTGGAGGGCAGAGAGGCCATTCCCAAGACAGAAGCGACCTGTTAGCTGCCTCGGACCCAGGGAGCTTTGTTGCCTTGGAAACGACTTTGGTTTCTTCCTCTGTAAAATGGGAACAGCCACATAATCCCCTCGGACAACTTGGGGATTGTTCCGAGGCGTGTATGTCCCCGCAGTGGCCCAAAGCCAGACACTGAGCAGGGCCCAGCACACACCTGAGTGGGAATCTCCCGTGCTCGGGCCTCACTCCCCCAGAACCACCACTCCTGTCCTGGGTGCGATTGCCACTCTCCAACCTATCCCGGCGCAACTTTTCCTCCAAACCACGCCCTCAGCATCATCGTTTGTTTAGAGACAGGGTCTTGCTCTGTTGCCCCGGCTGGAGTGCAGTAGTATAATCATAAGCTCACTGTAATCTCAAACTCCTGGGCTTTAACGATCCTACTGCCTCAGCCTCCCAAGCGGCTGGGAAATGTAAGTGATCACCACCTATAATTAGCCTAAGTTTTACAATTTTTTTTTAATTTTGGCATATTATGGGGGTACAGATTTTAAGGTTTCAATAAATGCCCTTTCCCCCCTTCCCCCTACAAGTCTGAGTCTCCAGCATGACCATCCCCCAGATGGTGCACATCTTACTCATTATGTATGTATATACCCGCCCCCTCCCACCTGCCCAATACCCTTTTACTGTAGTACCTATGTGTCCACTTAGGTGCTGCTCAGTTAATACCAGTTTGCTGGTGAGTATATGTGGTGCTTGTTTTTCCATTCTTGGGATACTTCACTCAGTAGTATGGGTTCCAGCTCTAACCAGGAAAATATAAGATGTGCTGTATCACCGTTATTTCTCGTTTTACAATTTTTTTGTGGTCATGGGGTCTCCTGTCTGTTGCTCAGACAGGCCTTGAACTCATGGCTTCATGCAATCCTCCCACCTCGGCCTCCCAAAGAGCTGGGCAAGCGTGAGCCACTGCACCCGGGCTGCCCTTACCGGTTTTGGTGATTGTATACAAACACGGAGCCAGGCTCAAAACAGAGAAAAGAACAAAACAGACTCCTGTTGCTTAGCTCAGTGGGAACCAAGCTCCTTCCAGCCCAAAGCAGTCGGTGAACCACTCACCTCTCCAGGGCGCCCTGTCCTCCAGGCCCAACGTCTTCCTTTGTGTCGTACTTTTTTTTCCTTGGGGAGGCCAGAGGGGTGGGTCAGAAGAGAGCCTGTGTACTAACCCAGTGCGCTGAGTCGAGACGTCCAGATCTGGGCAGCTGTTGGGACAAACAAGCCGGCAACGTGTGGGGGGCTGGCTCTTCCCATCGCATCACCCTGTCCAGGCACAGGGACCCAGCTGCAAGGGTGTGGGGCGAGGAAAATGGTATGGAAGAGAAAAGCTTCTAAATTAAACAGAGATGATCAAAATTTGCTCAGCACCTGAACAAAGGGACATCTCTACTGGTCAACTAATATTTCCCGTCTATGGTACTGGGTCAACAGTTAACAGTGTCCAGGGCCGACCAGCATGGCTTGAGACCCTCTCAGAGCTGGGCCAGCGTTGACCAGACTGATGAAAACCACACTTTTTTTTTTTTTTTTTTTTTTGAGACAGAGTCTCGCTTTTGTTGCCCAGGCTAGAGTAAGTGCTGTAGCATCAGCCTAGCTCACAGCAACCTCAAACTCCTGGGCTCGAGCAATCCTCCTGCCTCAGCCTCCTGAGTAGCTGGGACTACAGGCACGTGCCACCGTGCCCGGCTATTATTTTCTGTATATATTAGTTGGCCAATTAATTTCTATTTATAATAGAGATGGGGTCTCGCTCTTGCTCAGGCTGGTTTCAAACTCCTGACCTCGAGCAATCCTCCTGCCTCGGCCTCCCTGAGTGCTAGGATTACAGGTGTGAGCCACCGCGCCCAGCTGAAAACCATACTTTCTAAGCTCAGTACTCCATGGGGTACTGAACGCTCCGACATACACGATTTTGTGTGAACCGAGTGTGCAGGGCCTATGCTATCTGCCCAAGTCCCAGATAAGGAAACAGACTATACAAGCATCAGTGAACTCTGTCCGTCTGGGCAGGGCCTGGGCCAGTGGCCTGGTGAGCTCACAGCTGCATCTGCCATCCTGGGCGTTTGTCATCAGCCTTTTGAGTGCAGACCTCTCTTTAGGACCCCGGCCTTTCCCAACACACAGCCACAATCCTCCCAGACCCCTGCCTCCATCCTAGGTGGAGCTATGCCCCCAGGCGAGCAGCAGTGTGCCCTTGGAGGGCCCGGCTCAGCTCTGACCTCCTCCTCTTCCCACCTCCTCCACAGCTCGACAGGGTAGCATTGAAGGCCACACATCACAGGCTTTTCAAAAAAATAAGGTTTCTTTATTGTCTTGGCTGCAAATATAGTTTTAAAAATGCAATGTAGTGTTGGATACAGCTGGTGGGAACGTGCTTGGAAACAGAGCATCGGGCGCTGTGCTCAGGGTGACACGGGCCAGACCACACTCTCCTCTGGGTCTGTTTCTCAGACCATGGGTGTGACTGTCTCTCCAAAGGAACCCTGACACAATCACCAACGCTCACAACAGGAAAAAAAAAGCCATTTACACAATAAACTGAAACCTGGAAAAGGAACAGAACGTGGTGTTTCAGTCGTGGCGTGACAGAATCAGCAAACGAATGAACCCACTTTGTGTCGTGGGTTGGCTGGGCTCAGCTCCCGGCAAGGAACATTCTGGAGTGGGTCTGGCTGAGCCTTTCCAGCCTTTTTAATTTCAGGATGTCAACGCTACAGAAACGAGTAATACTTCAGCGTCTCCCAACGCTCCGCAACCTCAACTCTCAAGATCTCTGTTAAGAAAACCAGAAGAGAATTCTTCAAATGAGCTGCACACAGGGTTCACGCACAATCAGAAGTTTGACTGGGAGATGGGGCTGGACTTTGCTACATAATTGGAAAGGAATTTCACAGAAATAAAATCCAGGAAGTAAACACACGCGCGCGCAGGCTCGTGCAAGTGCAGGCACACACACAAGTCGACATTCAACGTGAAAAGTTCCCTTTTCTTTTTCGAAGGTTGATTTTCTTGAGCCCTGACGGTCACATGGTGAGCCAGAGGAGGCCCAGTCCTTAGAATGAAAAGCCAGGGGTTGATCTGTCCCCAACCACCGTCAAGGCTGGCCCTGGTGGAGGCACGGGGTTGGGGGTGTCCTAACAGCTTCTTTGAAGCTTCCCATGTGCCCCAAGGTGCCCCTCAGATCCCAAAAACCTCCAGAAGTGACCATGGCCAGGGTGTCTACTAAATAGTACAAACAAGGCTGACATTCAAAGCTCTTTAATTTCCTGGCTGGGTGAGGTAGCTCACCCCTATAATCCCAGCACTTTGGAAGGCCAAGGCGCGAGAATCGCTTGAGGCCAGGGGTTTGAGACCACCCTGGGCCAATAGCGAGACTCCATCCCTACAAAATGTTTTTTTTAAATCAGCCACTCAGGAAGCTGAGGCAGAAGGATTCTTGAGCCCAGGAGCCCAAGATTACAGTGAGCTATGATCTCACCACTTCACTCCAGCCTGGGAGACAGAGTGAGACCCTGTCTCTAAAAAAATTTTTAACTAAAAAAAAAAAAGAAGCTATTCATCCTCTAACCTCCCTGTCCCCTAAGTAAAATCCTCTGTGATGACACGAGGCGTCAAGCACACAGAGCCACCACAGCTGCCACTGTGCACACGGCCTGTCAGTCCAGTGCCCTCCACCATTCCTCTTCCCTGTGGAACTGCCACAAAAACACTTTGCAAAGGGAAGTCCCACTAGGGGGTGTGGGTTTTATCTGTGGCTGGGAAGTAGGGTGCCTAGGGACACAGCCACTCTTCCCACCTGAGAGAAAGAGAGGCATTACCCACACCCAGGCTGCTTGTTGGGAGGCCCCAGGCAGATGGGACAAAGACCAGGGAGGAGCCAGGTGATGACAGGGAGGCAGGGACAGCAGAGGGCAGGATGGGGTGACAAGAGGGGTCTCCCAACCTGCCCACGTCGGTGCCAGGGAGAGGAAAGAGCTGGGCGGAGGCATGGCCCACCAGTGCTGGGCCGGGGCCCACAGCACTCCAACACCCATACCCAGGAGTCTGCTGCCCAGGGCAGAAACAGCTCCACTCCGAGTTCTGAGAGCGCAAGGTCTTGTCCAGCAAGCAGCAAAAGCCTGCCATCTTCAACACAACTGCATACCTGCCAACTCAGGACACACCCAGGGGGCCAGCCAGGGCCTCCGGGGAAGGGGCCTTGCCAGCCACACACCAGCTCCCCACCATGCAGGAGACCCTGACCAGAGCCCAGGCTGCTGGCATGGGTCCAACCAGGGCTATGCACACAGAAGGGGTGATTCAAGCCCTCCCAGGCAATGACAGGGACTGAGGTGTCATGTGCCACTTCACCCTTGGGAGTCCCCTTCACGGGCTAGGAGTTTGGCACCACCTTCAGTTTTGGGTGCTGTCCTCTGAGAGTCCAAGTTTTCATCTCAGCCACAGCAGAGAAACCTTTAGGACTGACTTCTAGAAAAGACAGTGGTGGCAGGTCCTGAAGGCAGGAAACAGGAGAGTCAGGTCACAAAAGCATGGGGTCTGGGTAACTGCTGACCCCTCCTGCAGTGGCTCTGGGACCCTGGGCAGTGCCAGGGACCCTGCTGCCTCCAGTCCCTTCTCACTGAGACCTAGTGTTTCCTGCTGGAAGGCGGCTGGCCACCCTGGAGGCGACAGCAGGTGTGTAAGCTGCTGGTCACATCTCAGAAAGCCCCTTGGGGGCACCCGGCCTGCCTGACGTCTCCCACTCATCACAAAAGCGCAGCAGAGCACAGGGGCCGCTCACAGGAACTCCTGGGGCTTTATACGCCACAGCAGGCCTTGTTTTGTCTTTTCAGACTGATTTTCTTATTCTCCAAAGCGCCAGCATTTTGAAGTTTCTCTTATGGGAAGGGGGACAGGAATGGGGTGGAAAGGAGTGTAAACAAAGCTCCCACTGGAGGCAACCA